TGACCCTCTGACAATATTATCAGCTTGTGTGAACCAAAACTGTTTGGGCTGATCTTTAAGCAGACATTTCCAACCACATCTTCCCTTGCTGCTGTGCAGGAAATAAAAAATAAAATTAAATTAAATTAAAAAAAGCTTTTTCAGTGTTGCCATATGGGCTGAGGCAATATCTAGACTTTCACTTTTTAGGCCAGGCAGGGAAAGTGTAATAACAAGAGGAGGAGCAAAGGAGGCTCTAGGCAAGGCTTCTCCCAAGCTGCCAGATGATTTGTTCCCTTTGCAGATCAAAACACCCCCGGGCCTGATCACAGAATCACAGAATCCTTTAGGTTGGAAAAGACCTCCAAGGGCAGGTCCAGCTTTGAATTTTCATGAGGTTTTGGTTTATGGTGGCACCTAAAGAGCCACAGGTCAGGATCAGGCAGCCCCAGGACTCTCAAAGTGCACATTTTAATCATAAAAACAGATTAATTTTTATGTGCTCATGAGTTATTTTGATATCTCCAGGTAAATGCTGTAGTTTCGGGAAGGTTGGAAAATTCTTGGCTTGCAGATAAACAGGGATCCTTTGAGACAGGATAAAAACTCAGACTATTTAAAATAATTAAAACTTAGAGTTTATGTATCAAACACTATTCTGTGGCCAAAATTCTCTTGCAGACACATTTTGGATTTCACTACTTTTCAATTACTATTTACTAGTCGTAGTAGTAACTCCAACTTTTGAACTACTTTTTAACTACTTATCCCTTTCAGAGGTAAGGAGGAACATACACCAAGAAAAGTCAACATTTCAAAACTTGAAGTGAAGAACCAATGCCTCTGGCCCAATTTCATGAGTCCAAATGCTTTTTTTTCTGTGTTGGATTCATTTTTCCAGGTGGGTTTGGAGTCCCCATCCCTGGAGGTGACCAAGGAAGGCCTGGAGGTGGCACTCAGAGCTCTGGGCTGGGGACAAGGTGAGGATGGGGCACAGCTTGGATTTGATGACTTTGGAGCTCTTTTCCAACCTCAGTGGTCCTGATTTAAATCACACCAACATGAATCTGCACAAACTGCAGGATAAGGTTATGGGAATACTACCTGCATTTCCATTTTGTGCTGGGAGCTGTGGGTTCACTGAAATACCAGTGGCAAATATCCCCAAAAATGCCTCCTAGAGATGTGGTGGTGAGAGATTTCTCCATATAAATGCTCTGTTATTTTGGAAAAATGAAAAGAGGAGGGGGATAAGGATGTGCCAGAGCCTGGTTTAGTCAGTTTGTCTCCATAAAATCTCTCTGCACAACCTCCAGGGAATGAACAGGAGATGAGGGAGAGCAGAACCCTCCTGAGGGCTGATCAGACCTGAAGTTTCTTTTAGGTGCACCGACCTTTTTGGGATCCTCTCCTCAATGGCCTGAGTAGAGCAGCCTCCTAATTTAAAACCCAAAGTTAAGCATTTAAAGTAGATGTGCCCATCCCTTCCCATCAAGCCATTCCTCTGCTTTTCCCATTGTTTTACCCTCCAAAACCAATTCCAAAATCCTCAAGCTGATACTGATGCCTTGTGAAGGCTGATCTAGAGCAGAGGCTGGGCAGAGCTACAGAACAAAGCAGGGATTTATTCAAGGATCTCCTCCATGGATGCACCTTGGGCAGCACCAGAGCCCAGCCAGGGCTGCACCCAAATGACCCAAAATGGTCCCAAAATGCACGAGCGCTCCCGGGGCTCTCCCTGGGATCAGTTCTGCTCCATTGGCACCTTGGAGTTCATTGTCCCATTCCAGCTCCAGCCCATCAGTCCCATCCTGCTTGTTTTTCTCTCTCCAGCCCACGCTGTTTGTGCTCCTGGGCTGAGGTTTGGATCATTTGTCCTTGGTGCCCAGCTGGAGCAGGAATTGTTTTGTCTCTGCTCTGTGCACAGAGCTCAGCATCCCATCATGTGAAGCTCAGAATTGCACACTAAAGCAGCACAGAATCTGAAATATATAAAAGCTCAAACCTGAGGCATCAATACAAACTTTGCTTCCTGACATAAACTCTTCCCTCAGGCACGGCACAAGTCTGGGGAATTCAAGTTGTTTCTGGGACTGTGTGCCCAAAGGGAGCTGGGAGGGAACGGAGTCAAAGCCCATTAACTGGAATCACCTGAACCAGCAGATTTAGGCACTGCCAGCTCAGGTTCTGCCTTGACCTTCGACTGGAATGGCAAGGGAAAGGAAATCTCAGCAGCTCACCAGTCAGGCATTTGCCTGGGACTTCCAGAAAGCAGCAGGGATCCTTTCAGTGTGTCTTTGCACGAGCATTAATTCACCCTGAGAGGCTCTGTGGGGAGATTCGTGGAGCTGACACTGAGTAAGCTGCAACTGAGACAAATAGATCGAAGGGGGACAGCAGGCTAAGTATAAAATAATTATTTGTGCACCTGTTCCAGAGCCATTTCAGGTTTTGTGCCCCAAGAGAAAAAGTGCCATTTGGAAAGCACAAGGGTTTGTGTAATGAAATGATGCTGTTATGGTTCCAAGCTCAACCTAACCACTCATTTGCTGCTTCTCCTGAAATATTTTAACAATTAATAGAGTTAAAAGAGCCTATAACCCATCACATTGTGTCAGGATGGTGAAGGCAGAAAGGATAAGATCCTACATATCCTCATTCTACATAAACCCTTTCTCCATTTTGAATGTGCCCAGTGTTCCTGCTCTGCTGGCAAATGAAAGCAGGAAAAATGAGTAACGAGTAGAGGAGGCTCTAGAAAAGCAACTTCAGCTTGGAGAGCAGCTCCTGTTCCAGGAGATTTGGTCCTAGCACAAGAGAAGAGATTTAAAGAACAGTAGTTTGCAGGAAGAAATTTAGAGTTGTGCAAATCTCCCAGGAAAAAGAGGCCTCATGCTGCTCTTTTCAGCCAGGTTCCCTTTTATGGGAAAAGCTGAAAGAACAAGAATGCAGCCATTTTTTAACCTAACATGATATTATAATACATCCACCACACAATTGCATGGACTCAAATGAGATTTCACAGAGAAAAAAGAAATTATTCCCAGAAAGTACATTAGGAAATGTAGGAAGGTGTGAAGAAAGGGTGAGGTGAGAAAGGAAATGCAAATAAGGAGATTTTACAAGCTAAAGTGGTGCTGGTTTGAAGTATTACTTTTTTCTCAGGAGAAAAAATTAGATCACTGATGATCCATGGTCAGAGAGCACAGATGGAGCTGGGCTTGCTGCTAAACTAAGACAGAAAATGAAAGAGAAAGTGATAGGACTTTTGAAAGTGCAAATTGTTATCATTTACTTTACCTGAAAATCCACAATCCCACTCTGCTTCCCTCTGACTAGGGGCAAAAGTTTGCAATATGGTTAATTTATCACAGTGCAGACACAAAAGGTGAAGCATTTCACCTTTTCAGAAGAGAAGTCTGGAAAGGATGATGATGATGATGTTGTCTGGAAAGGACTTCTGGGCTCTACTTTCCAGCCAGATTTTCTCAGCAAAGAAGGTTGAAGTAAAGTATCTGTTGATGTCTGGAGGTGTGCACCTGCCTGTTTGCCTGGCAGCTGTTCCAAGCAGGAATATGGCATCTGTTGGCCAATTTCAGCTGAGCCTGAGACGGGAAAGCAATGCCAAAGGCTCCATCAGTGAGGAGGGGGATGAAGGTGCTTGGAAGTGCCCCAAAGGAGATGGAGATTTGCTCACGATGTGAGATCAGCTTTAGTTATGCACCAGAGAGCTGCGGGACACAAACCCTGGTGTTCCCTGGATGCACCTGTGGCTCTCTTCCTTGCTGTGGGGCAGTGAGGCCCTGGCACAGGGTGCCCAGAGCAGCTGTGGCTGCCGCTGGATCCCTGGCAGTGCCCAAAGCCAGGCTGGATGGCTCTGAGCAAATGGGGCTAGTGGAACGTGTCCCTGCCCACGGCCGGGGGGATGGCACTTGGCGATATTTAAGATCCCTTCCAACCCAGCCCATCCCACGACTCCGCGATTCCTGCGCGGGGAGGGCGCCGCCGGCGTAGGCGGGACGCTCCCGGGGCAGCCGCATCCCGGCGGAAGGGACAGCGCGGGGTCCCCACGATCCCACCCAGACCCGCGGAGCGCTGCGCTCCCTTCAAACCCGCGGAACGCTCCGCTCCCTTCAAACCCGCGGAGCGCTCCACTCCCTTCAAACCCGCGGAACGCTCCGCTCCCTTCAAACCCGCGGGGCGCTCCGCTCCCTTCAAACCCGCGGGGCGCTCCGCTCCCTTCAAACCCGCGGGGCGCTCCGCTCCCTTCAAACCCGCGGGGCGCTGCGCTCCCTTCAAACCCGCGGAGCGCTCCGCTCCCTTCAAACCCGCGGAGTGCTCCGCTCCCTTCAAACCCGCGGAGCACTCTGCTCCCTTCAAACCCGCGGGGCGCTCTGCTCCCTTCAAACCCGCGGAGCGCTGCGCTCCCTTCAAACCCGCGGAGCGCTGCGCTCCCTTCAAACCCGCGGAGCACTCTGCTCCCTTCAAACCCGCGGTGCGCTGCGCTCCCTTCAAACCCGCGGAGCACTCTGCTCCCTTCAAACCCGCGGAGCACTCTGCTCCCTTCAAACCCGCGGGGCGCTGCGCTCCCACCCAGACCCGCGGAGCTCTCCGCTCACACCCAGACCCGCGGGGCGCTCCGCTCCCACCAGACCCGCGGGGCGCTCCGCTCCCACCCAGACCCGCGGGGCGCTCCGCTCCCACCCAGACCCGCGGGGCGCTCCGCTCCCACCCAGACCCGCGGGGCGCTGCGCTCCCTCGCAGCGGGGGCGGCGCGGGCGGAGCGGGGCCGCCCCCGCGGAAGGAGCGCGCCGCCCCCGCCGCCCCGCGCCGCCCGCAGAGGGCGCTGCCGCCGCCCGCGCCGCGCTCCGCGCTCCGCTCCGCGCCCGCCGGGCCAGCGCAGCCCCCGCGCCCGCCCGCGGCCGCTCCGCGGGGCCGCGCCTCCCCCGGAGCCGCCCGCTCGCCCCCCCAGCTCCGGCGGAGCCCCGCGGCCGGCGGCTGCCGCTGCCCCCCCGGGGGTGCGCGGCTGGCGGGAGGTGGGCGAGCGGGCGTGGGGAATGGAGACGCCCGACAGCATCCTCGGGGCCGTGTGACAGCGAGCGGCGCTCAGACGCGCGCACCGAGCCGCAGCCGGAGCCCCGCAGCCGGCGCAGCGCCGGGCACAGCCGCCCTGCCCCGTCCCGTCCCGCGGGGAGCCGGCATGGAGTGACAGCAGCCGCCAGGTAAGCGGGGCTGCGCTACCCGAGGGGACGCCGCGCGGGTGGCGGGGTCGGGGCTCGCGGGTTCGCTGTCCGTGCCTTCACGGCTCCTTGCCGCCGCGTTTCTCCATCTCCCCCCCTTGCCCCCAAAAACGCCTTTCCTCGATCCCCCCCGAGCAGCCACGGCGGCCGCGCCGAGGGATTCGGGGCGCGTTACTTATGTAACCCGGGGCGAGCAGCCGCGGCCGCTTCCCGCTGGGCGAGGGGCGAAGCGGCGGAGCCGCGGCCGCGGCGGGCACGGCGGGGCGGCCCCGCGGTCCCCGCTGCCGGCTGCCGTCGCGGGAGCCTCCCGCGTGGGATCCCCGTCCCCACGCCCTCGGGCAAAAGCGCCGCCGCCGCCGCCACGGGGCCGGGGCCGCGTCGGCTTGCCCCCGGCTCCGGGGCTCGGCACCGGGCACCGCGGGCCGGGACCACCGGGGGCCGCGTCCCGCCCGGCCGCCCCCTCCCCAGCGGTGCTCCAGCGGCGGTGGCCGAGCCGGGAGAACTTGAGAGCGGGGAGGAGGCGAGGAGCGGGGGGATGATGCTGTTTTGGCTGCTCCCGTCTCACTTCTCCGCCGGGAGGGCAGCGCGGGGAGGATGCGCTGCTGCGCGGAGCTGGGCTGGCTGCGGGGGGCTGAGGGGAGCCGGGGGAGCGCCGGAGGCAGCCGGGGAGAGGAGCCCGAGCCGGGATGAGGGCGGTCAGCGAGGGGACAGCCTCCCCCGGGGGACACGGGTGGCGGAGGGGACGGGGGTGTTCATGGAGGGGTGCCCGTCCCTTCTTGTTCGGAGGGAGAGCGAGCTCGGTATCACCATGGCGACCTGAGGGAGGAAAGAGCTAAATAAATAAATAAGTAAGGGATAACTCCCCCCCTTCTTCCACTCCCCCCGGCCCTCGCCGTCCCTTCCAGGCCAGGTCCGGTGCCAAAGGTGGGGAGAAAGATACCACGGACAAAACTTTCCTCTCGTGGTGAAAGCGGGCGGCGAGGGGCCGGGGGAGCGCGGTGGGGAAGGGGCCTCGGTTTCGGGGAGCCGGGGACTCCCGCATCGCCGTGGCCGGAGCATCTTCTCCGGGAAGCTGCTTCGGGGCTTGCTCCTCACGGCTGCTTAGGATGCTTAGGGTGCCTCCCTTTCCCCCCACGGCTCCTCGAGCTCTCCGCCAGCCCCGGGGCTCTGCCTTCGGCTGCCGGCCCGGCCCCGCTCCAGCACCGCGGACAGCGGCGGCGGAGCGGCCGCGGGAGCGCGGGATGCGCAGAGCAGCGAAGCTCGGGGGCTTTGAAACGGGAATTCTGCGCTGGGAAAACCGGGAGAAGCCTCCACCGGTGTCCCCGCTGTTAGAATCCCCCCCGAGCCGCTCCAGCTGGGCGCCAGGAGCCTGAGGAAGACTCACGCAGGGCCACTAAACTTTGCTGAGCTGAAGGAATGCAGGAGCTGGGAGCAAAGACATTTTTAAAAAATGACATCTTTTCCACCAGCTCGCTGGAGGTTGTTCTTTAGGGCTGTTTTGCAGCGGTTCTCTGTAAGGTGTTACAGGTAACTGCATCCCCCAGCAGGACTGTTCACACACACACACAACAGCCGTGCAGGGAGCCCTGCAGAAATCGTGAGAAATGCCTGCCCTCGGCTGCTTTGCCTGCAGGAAACGCGGGGAGAAAATAGCACTTGGAAGGAATTGCACTCCTAGCCCAGGGAGTCGTCCCACTGCTGAGGGGCACGATGGCACCGGTGGAGTTTGTGCCGGTCGGTCGTGGTCAGCTCTGTGCAAAAACCCCTCCTGACAGAGCCTTCTTTTCCTCAGACAGCCGGTGAGCAGTTTAAATAAACAGACAAAGCGAGGGGGAAAGAAGTGTTGGGTTAGTGATAGTGCACCAACAGCCAGGATGCATTTCTTGCTCGGATGGGTTGTAAATCATTGGCTCAGCTCACCTATACCTATCTCATTCTAGCAGTTACATATGCAGTCATTACCTCAGACTAAGAAAAAATTAGTCTAGAAAAGCAAACAACATAATTAATACTGTTCACTGAGGGAGATAGAGATGGATTAGTCACTTTAGGGCTGTTCACTGTGTCAGGATGTTCGTTTTTCATTAAGCAAACAAAATTTATTTGATCTTGCCTCGGTGCTGATAGGCAGTAAACTATAGGTACATGGAGAGTTATTGGTTTGGAATCCAGATCCCTGGCCTCTCTGGGTTGTGCTTTAACTATCAGCAATCTATCAAATCACACCAGGACCTGTTTCCTGCTCTGCCTGCCTTCCTTCTTGCTTGTAAATTCTCTGTTTCAAAGAATTCTGGAAGAGACAAACACATAGGTGAGTCCTAGTCAAGTATGAGAGTTAACTGGGGTTTTTATTTATTCCTGCGATGCCCAGGGCGGGCATTCCTGGTGGGGCTCTAGTGGAAGGTATCCCTGATGATCCCTAAGATCCCTTTTCACCCAAATCATCCTGTGATTCCCTGCAGAGACTCCTTGCTGAGAATAACAAATCCTCTTTCTTGTAAATCCACATTTTGCCCTAACTCTGCTTCTGGAGTGAACTAACGAGTTAAGCCTTTATGGAAATGGAGACCTGGATATTTTAATGCTGGGCCTCCCATTTCCAAGCCTATCTCCCAGGGAATTTGGGAATAAAGGCCTGAACTGTGAGTACAAGCTGGGGAGCTCATTACTTTCCTGTGGGAAAATGAGAAGTAATAGAAGCCAACTCTTCCTAAGGGCAGTTACCAAAGCATTTGCAATACTTGAAGTTATTGATTTCCTTACATAAGGCAGGGCTCCTGCAGCGTCACAACAATGCTGTCAGATCATTACCAAATGATTTTGCCTCATAAGCAAATAAGGAAAGAATTAATTATAGCAGCACCAACCCAAAAGCCCCACAACCACAGCCTCAATTAGTAAAAGGCTCAATTCTTTGTGGGATTCCTGCCAGTGCATTTGCACCACATTCCGTTTGAGCTTCCCAAGATACATAATTTCGCTGCAGAAAAGACTTGTTTTTCACTAGCATGTGTTTGGAGCCTTCTTTTGTAGTCATTTTGTTGAAATGTGGTACTTTGGAAGGAAAATATGATCTCTCCTTCAAACTATGTAAGAGAAACAGAATTTCATTTACATTTTCATAAAACCCCCATCACAAAGGATATATTTAAATATTTCACAGCAGGTTTAGATATAAGCTTTATGTTCTTTCTTTCACCTCTCAGGAACTCTAGACACTGTTGGTGTAGGATTACTGTGTTTGTCATGATCTTCTCATTGTATTTTTACATTAAAAAAACAGTTTTATTCAGGATTTGTCTATATCCTTCTATAAAAGCAAGAAGTAAAATAATTTATATTAATACTCTCACAAATAAATTAATTTATGTCTTAAGCAGCTGCACTTGATGCACTGTAAAGATCCCATTTCTATTGTATAATTTCTTTGATTTTCATTGCTGTTAAAAGCTTTGCACCTCTGGTCAGTGCCTCCATCACCTTGCTCCAGGATGTTGCTTTTTATATGGGACAATGAAGCCCTGGCAGTTTTTAACAGGATATCAGGTTTAGGTTAATATGTTACATTTATGTGAATGTACAATTTTTACTGGTGGAGGTAGTTTGATACCAGAAAACAACATTCACAATATATTAAGTATCAATACTTATGTATTGATTGTGCAGAATGTGATGTTTCGGAACAAACCCCTGATTTACCAAAGAGCAAACCCAAGGGAAAAGCTTTCATCTCATTCCCTCTTGACTTTCTGGAAGATTTTTTTGGCTTTTTGTTGCTTGGCTTTTGGAGGTTTTCTCCAGGTGCTTTGCTAGAATGCTGCTGATGTTGAAAATACAATTTTTTTTTAATGTTTTATTAATAGCTGGAATAGAAGTATTGAACAATTGGAGGTTATTGAATCCAGTTTTTCCACACAGCACTGCAATTTTTAATGATGCCCAAGGACTCCTGACAGAGCCTCATGACTGTGTCATGGAGTGTCTGCCAAAAGGACATCCCAAACCAGCCCATCCCAACCCCACACTCTGCAGGACATCCATGGGATCAGTCCTGTCCATGCAGGTTCTGGAGGAGAAAAACCTCTGTGATCGAAATTCTTGTGAAGAGACTGGAATTTTAGTGCCCTTAGCATGGCAGGAGTGGATCCTGTCCATAAGGAGGGTCAGAGCACCTTTAACTCCTCCTTGAACTCATCACCTCCTCCTCATCGAACTCCTCATCCATGATCTGCCTCGCAGAATATCACCCAGGGCCAGGGGAATTTGGCAGCTGAGGAAACACACCTTGCTTCCATTTGGAGAGGTCATTAAAGTGGATTTTTTGCAGTCTATTCACGAGCTCCTACATATGGCCAGCAGAACATCCTGTCCTCAGACACAGGACAAAAAACAACAAAGCGGGGAGATTTTCAAGTTCTTCAGAAATAGGCGATTTCTACCCTCAGAGTCTCACAATGCCCAGTAAAATTGAAGAATTATGGATTCAAAGAATGGTTTGGATTAGAAAGGACCTTAAAAATCATCTTATTCCTGCCCCCTGGACCTTCTCCTAGAGCCCCATGCAGCCTGGCCTTGAACACCCATTGAAAATCTTCATGAGTGCAAGGGCTCTCCACAGCCCTGACTGCACAAATTTATGCCAGAGGTTGCACAAGAAGCTTTAACATAAGTGCCAAGGGCTGGTCAGAGAAGTTTTTTTCTGGAGTATTACTCCAGCGAGCTTTGAATTAAAAAATAGCCACAAGGCAAAAGCCCATTTTGCTGCTATTTTCCAGTTACAACCTCAGGTTAGACATTAATGGTAGCTGAAAGTCTATATCCACAATATCCACCAATCTTCAGCTGGAAATTATTTACTTCCAAGAAGTATTTACTTTCTTGTCTCACTCTGGAGGGAAAATAACAGAGTCTGTCCAAGGGCAGAGCATGCCTTGCAGTCAGAAAACCCTTAACATTTGCACACACAGCTTGCAATCCACGGG